ACTTGTTATCTTTGAGAGAGAAGAAAAGGAAAAAAAAAAAAGCCAAATCAAAATCAATTATTTGGACAATTACCTAACTCAATCGAAGGACAATAGCTCAGAAAGTCCAAGTAACTGTTATGAAGCATGTTGTAAGTTGGCAGAAGAAGGGCATATGGGGTGGAATAGGGTCTAGTTCCTCAGGGTCAGGCACTGAGAATAGCCAACGTTTTTATTGTTCTATATGGTAATAAAACACAGTCCCTTTATACCCCAAACTGAACCCTGCAAAGCCCCACACAGCAATCCTCAACATACAAGAATGCAGGCTGCTTGGCATTTTCTTACATTCTCTAAGCCACTGCACTTCCCACAACCCAATCCTACAATATCTTCGTATACAAAGAACACCATAATACGCATGCAATAATTTAATTAAAGCATTTTGTTACATTCCTAAGTGTTACATATTATAGGTAACACACACACACACACATACAAAATAACTTCAGCAAGCAGCTTTCATTGAAATCCAAATGAAGAAACACAGAGCTATTTCAATCCTGACAAATTATTTCTGAACAGGAAGGGGTGGGAGAATCAGCATCAGTCACCACTTGCTGTGTACTTATGCTGCATCAGGCACTTTAACATGCATGATCTTATTTAATTCCCTCAAATGGAGGTAGTCAGTACCATCACCCTCTCCATTTACAGCCCAGACAACACGTCCCTAGTTCATGAAGCTAAGTAGAAGCAGGGGCATGATTCCAACCCAGGTCTCTAAGTTTAAAGACCCTACTCTTTTCTATTATGTTACAGTGGGTCAAAAATATCCCCAAAATTTAGTTAATAAATTTTAAATCTGCTTAACAGACAAAAACAGGCAAATGTACACGATGCTCCAAACCAGAACTTGAATACCCCTGAGTATATGATGCGTAATCTAGTTTTTAATCTGTTCAAAGGTGGCTGCAAACGTCAATGCTTCCAAGTCTTCATCATTTAGTTCTTCTCTACTCTTCCCACATCTGCATATTTACATTTATGGGAGACCCAGTGGAAGTCCCTATCTGTACGGAAATCAATGTTTGCATATGTGGAACCTGGTCACTGTAAGAACAGTTTTATATAAAATTAGCTCATTATGATTATTATTATTATTTTAGAGATGGAGTCTCGCTCTGTCGCCCAGGCTGGAGTGCAGTAGTGTGATCTCGGCTCACTGCAACCCCTGCATCCCGGGTTCAAGCAATTCTCCTGCCTCAGCCTCCCTGTAGCCGGAACTACAGGCACACACCGCCATGCCTGGCTAATTTTTTTTCTTTTTTTTTTGTATTTTAGCAGAGACGAGATTTCAGCATGTTGCCCAGGCTGGTCTTGAACTCCTGAACTCAGGCAATCCACCTGCCTCAGCCACCCAAAGTGCTAGGGTAACAGGCATGAGCCACTACGCCCGGTCAAAATTAGATTATTTTTATGACTTGTTGCAAAATCCTCTTTTTAGGTTAGAGTTTCATTTAACACTCTTTAACTTACATGCCCACAACACCCAAATTTAATACACTTTTTTTTTTGTTTCTTTGGGAGACAGGGTCTCTCTCTCACTACAGCCTTGAACTCCTGGGCTCAAGCTAACCTTCCAAAGCGCTAGGATTACAGGAATAAGCCACTGTGCCTGGCCCTGTATTTAACACACTTTAAAAGTACATGGTCAAGTTCCTGCTAGAAAAGGTGCAAGTGAATGAGAAATCTAATGTAGGGGCCAGCTGTGTGATCTTGGGATAGCACTTAAACGCTCAGTCCCAGTTCCATTATTAGTAAAACAAGGATGATGAAAAGTACCTATAGCATAGTACTATTATGAGGATTACAACAAACAATAGGACATAGGCTCTTCAGATGTGCCAGGCCCTGTTCTGAGTGCTCAATAAATGCCAGCAATTACCACCAGAGAAACTGTAGATCTAACAGAAAAGAATACTCTTATGAAGACTAACAGCAATCTCAAAGTGGATTCCATATTAGAAGCCGATTAACACCTTTTTTTTTTTTTTTAATTGTACTTTAGGTTCTTGGGTACACATGCAGATCATGCAGGATTGTTGCATAGGTACATACATGGCAAGGTGGTTTGCTTCCTTCGTCCCCCGTCACCTATATCTGGCATTTCTCCCCATGTTATCCCTCTCCAACCTCTCCACCCCACCCCCCGCTGTCCCTCCCCATCACCCCCGCCAACAGACCCCGGTGTGTGGTGCTCCCCTCCCTGTGTTCTTCATTGTTCAATACCCGTCTATGAGTGAAAACATGCGGTGATAACACCTATTCTTTGGTCAATTGTTGACAAAGTCTTTTTTCCCTTTATTAATTAAAATGTATTTATCTTGGGTGCCTGTTAAGTGTGTTTACTTTGTAAAAATTTATCAAGCCATACACTTACAATGTGTGAACTTTTCTGTATATATTCTATTTTTCAATAAAGTTTTAAAGACATGTATTAGTTTGGGCCCAGAGAGATGTTGCTCTACATTCAAGCCCAGGCAATGTCAAATACATTCGCTATTTCCTCCGAAAACTATTAATCTCACAATGATTGTCTCCCCTTTTAACACCACAGTATATGCCAGAAATCATCCCACGAATCACGTAAGTTTTGAAAATAAAAACCACCTGCCACCTCATGCAAGGGCTGATTACATACTTATGTTCTATGTATAAAACGCCAAAACTAGGAATTTCAGAACTACAGTTAAATTTAAACAAAATAAAAGTTGCCAGAAACCCTTACTTAGTCACTTCAGGAAGCCACTGAACGGTAAGACTGGGCCACTGAAGAGCATGGGTCATAACCAGGTCATATAGAAACGGTGTATTCTTCTTCCAGATTTTATATTCTTCATTGATGACACGCTCCTCCACAGTATCTTCAAACACTGAAATTTGGAGAAAGCCCACAAGATTAAGTGGCTGAGATGGATTGAAGTCAGAAATTGGAGGTCATCTCAAGATGGCCACACCTCATGTACGTTTTCCTTTTACCTCTAATTTGGACACGGACAACTAACTGCTCTTCCAGGAGGCGGAGAAAATACTAACACAACCAGGAAGCGTATTTTTTTCAGTTGAGATCAATACCTCCTGCATATAATTGTTTACCCTATTACAGCTGTTCGCACCTGTTCTAAGATGACGACTTATATGTACAGGGGCTGCGCGACCCACTCGGTAAGACAAATGCACATGTAGCAGAAGCCCACAGGCCCAGTCCCTTCATTCCCCATCAGGGGAGGCCCCAGCTCCCACGACGCCCGCCTCGGCCGCCATAGGCCGGAGGGCTCCAGCAACACCGGACAAGGGCCGCGACCCCGAGGCGGTCGACGCGCGCGCGTGTGAAGAGCCGCGGTGTTCGCTTCCAGGCGGCGGCGGCCGCCTCCGCCCCGGGGCCGAGGGCGCCGGAGGGAGCGAAGCCGCTGGAGGAGGGAGGGAAGGAGGGGGGCCCAGTCCTCGGCCCCGCGCCGGGCTCCGGAAGTGCTCGGAGCCCTCGGCTCGGCGGTCCCGTCCCGCGCAGGCCCCACGAGGCGCGCGCCCAGCCTCGCGCCCGGCCCCGCCCCCTGCTCCGCACGCCAATTCGCGCCTTTCGCCGGCGCGTGCCGCGGCCTCGCGCGCCCGCCGCCCCCCGCGGCCCCGGCGCGCGCCGCCCCGCAGGGCCTCTTACTCTCTTTACTCGCCATCTTGCGTCGGGTCGTTCGCCCCTCGCCGCCGCCTCGGACTCCCCTAGTTAGCCAAGAGCAGCCCGACAGCTGGCGCTCCTGCCTTTCCCAAGCGGGTCACACACTTCCCGCTCACGAAAGCCCGGGCCCTGTCTTGCGGCCTGGGTGCTCCCCAGACGCCGCGTCCTTCCTTCCTGCCTCCTCCCCGCTCGCGGGTACCGAGGTCTGAGGCGCTCTTCTCTCTCTCTCCAAACTTGGAACGAGACTTTTCAACCCGCGCCTCCCAGCCCGCCCAGGCAGCTGAGCGCAGGCGCATCCGCCCTGGGAAAAGTGAGAGGCGGCGGAGAGGCGGGTCTGGGAGCCAACGGCTCTGGCGCCGCGACCAATGAAGTGCGGCGGGCGGGTTTCACGCGGCGTTCGGGGGCGGGCTTCTGGGGGTGGGCGGGGCGTGTCGCGGCAGGAAGTTGGCGATGCGCAGGCGCGAGGGCTCGCCCGGCGCTCCCAGGGCCAGCCGCGGGGGCGGATGGGGGCGTGCGGGGGCGGGGCGAATGGAGGCGCGGCTGGCCGGCTCCGCGGGGGCACCGCGCCCGGGGGCGGCGAGCCTTGGGGCCCGCGGGGCGTGGTTGCTTGTAGCGGCAGCGGTGGTGGGGGCGAGAGGGGGGCAGGGTGGCTGCCGCCGCTTAGCCAAGCAAAATCTCAGAGCAAGAGGGGAAAATGGTTCCTGTTCTCGAGAGATTACTGTGCCTTCAATGTCTCTCTGATAATCACGCACATGCAATTCTCTGCCTCCCTGATGTTCTCCTCCCGCCCACTGGTCTTTCCTGGGGCCCGATCGGGCCGAGGTGGGACTGGTCTCAGATGGAGGAGACCTTTTGGAGAGGCCGCGGGCGTTTTCTGCCTGCAAAAGCCGCCTGGCCGCCCTGTTCGGCTAAATGTGAAGCGTGTGGTGGCACAGGCCGCCGGCGGGCCAAAGCCGATTTACATTAAATTACATTTTAATTTGTTGGATATGTGGGTCCTTAAGATGACGGTTTGCGGCCTCTTCGTGCCTCAGGGGATTTTGTTACTGCACTGGCATTCCTTTCTCATCCCAGCCCCGGCCCCTGCTGAGTCATTTTTGTCACCTGCAGGGGTCCCAGAGCGACCCCACCCCAAGCTGGCGGAGCTGGGGAGAGCTGGACTGAGCTGCCCTGGGCCTGTTTACCGCCCTGCTTTGCCAGGGAACTTCGCAGCCCCTGAGGAGGCGGGGGGTGGGGAAGGAGAAAGCTTGCTGAAAGGCCAAAAGGGGAATGGAGAGAAAAAAATGAGGGCCTGGAGCAGAGGGGACGGAGTTGGGGGAGGCGACCAAGGTGCCTGCGTGCAAAGGGAACCGAAGCGTACGTCCAGCTCCAAGAGAGGCTCCTCTTGCAAAAGCACCCCCGGAACATTTGCTGCCTTGATACCTTTCCAAGTGCCTTCATGCTCAGATGCTATCTTGCAGATGCTGTTGTCATGCCCACTTTTCTGACCGGGACGCAAACCCAGAGGTTAGTCAGTGGCAGATCCAGTCACATTCCCTTCTGTAGATATTTATCGTCTTCTTTTCGATACAATACAATTCATTATTATAGCGCACTCCCTCCAGGCGGGGTCCAGGAATCTTGTTAGTGCCTAAGGCGGAGGGGGTGGCTGGAGAGGGAGAGTTGGAAGGGTGTTTAAGCAATACAGCCCTTATATTAGGACACTGGTTAGTCAGACCTTTTCTAAAAGGACCCAGATAGTAAATACTTTAAGCTTTAGGGGCAACTGCTCACTCTGTCGCGTTGTAGCGCAAAGCAGCCATGGAAAATGTGTATACATTTGGCCGTGTTCCAATAAAACTACAGACACTGAAATCGTTTTCACGGGTCACAAAATCTTCTTTTGATTTTTTTTTCAACCACTTTAAAATGGAAAAACCATTCTCAGCTCGAGGGCCATACAAAACCATGTGGTGGGTTAGATTTAGTCGGAGGACTGCAGTTTGCCCACCTTGTTCTAGAATAATTGTACCTTATGGCTCTGCTTCAAAGAGAACCTCGTGTGCAAAGCGAGAGGCGGCTTGGGAGATGATTTGTATCCCTTTAATACAGTGTACTCATTTCTGATAAGAAGGCATGATTTCCAAAACCTTATTAAAAGAAATGTTTAAAGGACTGGAAGAAAAGAAATCTTCCCAGACGGTGTGGCTTTAAAATCTTAATACTGTTTACCTCAGTGAGGGTCAAGGAAAGAAATATGAAACAAATATTTTGGGAGTTTCTGAGAATATTCACACATTATCATACATTGAATCTGAAAATATGTACAGCATATTTCATTAGTTTTGCATTTTTGTTAAATTGAATCTGTTAATTCTATTTAATTGTTTTGGCCTTTTCTCCATCAACTACTTTTTTTGCATTAAAAAAAAGTAATACGTTTTCTCTCTTGGATTGCTGAACTGTTGGGTTTGTTTTGTCTTTCTCCCCAACCTCTTAGCTCTGGGTCCTAATCTTTTCTGGCACTTTTTCTGGGGTTATTCGTTTTGTCTCTCCCGTGCTCAGCTGATAGAGTAAGACGCAAACAGGTGCACACACACAAGGAAGGGATGGATTTTATTACATTTTTTGAAAATGCAAATTCTAAATGGACTTCATGATTGTGCTTAGTCACAACTTGAAGTTT